TAATTAGGAGGCGGCTTTTAAGGTAGTCCAAACTTATCGATTTTTAAATACTTTGGCTTTACCGCTAAGGATCACACTAAAAATTGTCTTGGCTCCTTAGAAAAAAATGGAAGCAAAACTGTTCAAAAATTTGCGGTGGAAACAAGAGCCGAACTTGAGTTATGAACATTTTCATTTGTCATCATTTCTGTGGTCTGTAGGGTAAAGACCATGCAAAATGTTTGTCTTTTTAAATAAATACTTAGTAGACCATAGAAATGAAGTCAAAAAGCCCAAAAAAGAGTTTAGAGGGTAGAAAATTATTTTCCTTTGTTAAACAGATCATTTCTCAGGACTAATCCAGGATGAAAAAGGCTACAGAGCGGTTTTGCTCACGTGGCCAACAGCTTTGTAAATTTATTGGAACAAAAGAAAGTTTTTCACATAAGAAAAGTTTCAACTCCCACAGGATTGGTTTGGGACACCAACATGGCCGCCATTTCATTGTGTTGGGACACCAAAACAACGTGACGTCAGTTGAAAACGCTCTATGAGACAAAAACTTATGATTCATTGTGGCCAGATCAAGAAACGGCGTCTCAAATAAGTTCCAATACATTTGTCGATCATGATGCCATTTTAACCTACCCTTTATAGTATAGTCGCCATCTTTATCTGAACTTTCACCGCTGAGGGTTCCATCGTCCCAAAATCGTATGGGAAAACTGGCATCTCCGCTGTTACCTGGAAACAAGAATTGATCAAATCTTACACCGTACTTTTAACATCAAAAAGAGCCAAATAACTTCAAGAAAACAAAATGAAAACTGTGCAGACGAATGCAAGAAATTCTGTGACTCCGTTTGAACTCTTGTAAAACCTGGATCAATTGGCACAACTCAAGAAGGGATAGCTGCCTGGCCGGAGCTTTACCAAATTTGAGTGATCAAATATTTCTGTCCCGATATCCTGGTTCAACCGCGTTAGCGAAAAGGAAAAAAGGGGGAAACTATAAACTTATGACAAGAACGTGAAATAGTCTGGGTACTTCACAACCATGCAAAGCTTCCAAATTGACTTTAGTCGGAAATTTTACAAATCTAACTTTAGAAACGCTTTGAAGTTCATCACACTTTTTATGTGTGTCACCTACAGTTTAGGGTTACTTAGCCTGGCACATTCCCGTGAATCAAAAGCCTGGTTAAACCAAGGTTTACCAGGGTTCGAGCCTGGTTCAACCATCCCAACCTTTCTGGTTGTCAAACCAGGCTTACCAGGCTTTACCATGCGTGCAAAAAGTGTGGTTAACCAGGGTATTCATGGTAAACTTGGCTAATCCTCAACTGCTGCAACAAGATATACACAGCAAGATTCTTAACTTATTTCCTATTTTACGTCATATCATTGTTGAATTTGGGGCTACCTTATGGAAATTCCATTTTATAATGCCCTGTAAATACTCCCCCAGGAATCTCTCCTTCGAATTTATCTCCTTCGTCGTCATCATACCTGTATGAATCAAGTCATGTAGGTAATCAAAAATAATAATAAAGAAATAATCGAAAAGGGCTAAGAACGACCTCAAACCTAAATGGTGTTCTAAGTTCCAATCAGGAGGCAAAAGTACTGCCGAGCCGGACGAAATGAAACTCTGTCTGTGGCCACCTTTAGAGACATCATGGCATTAAAGGACATAATATCAATTTTGCCTAGAAGCCTTGATAGCTTTTTTTTCACAACCCCCCGGGGGGTTGTCCCTATAATGGTCCACAGGGGAAGGCTCCGCCCGGAAGGGTTACCGTTTTCAGGCTTCAGGTTTATGAAAAGGTGGGGGATTTTACTTGTTGAAGTATACGAAAGGGTAGGAAATCTGTCATTTAGGTCTGTGAAAAGGCCAAAAAGGGCTGACAGATGCCTTTTATGGCTGTCACTAAGTCGAGAAAACGTTCTGGTTTTGTGGTTTAATGATTTATTCATATTTTAAGGACAGTACATTTACAGCAGTTAAAAGGGATAGAAATTTCTGAATTAGGTATGTGCCCTTTCTGTCAAAAATAGTACGATATAAGGGGGTAAAGGGATGGACGTCGGGGCGGAGCCTCCCCGTATAAACCTTTGTTCAGTAGTCCTTCCGGGACAAAAACGCGTTATAGGTCCATGCACTTGTTACGAGCCAGTTTCTATACACTTATTACATGCCTATTTTTGAGCTTTTGGATTCACCAAACAAACCTTCTCAGATAACGTGCAAACAACTTACCATTTTGCTAAACAAGTTCCTTTAGCTAGACATTGGTAATTAGACTGCGCGTCCCATGTCTTGTGTATTCCTTTCTCCTCTACGGACCACAAGTAACGTCCGTTTGGTGTGTACCGAAGTGAAGTGATCTTGCTTTCGTGGCTATCAAAAAGGTTAAAAAAATCATCAACCCCACCTGGATCAAGCTTTTCAATTCCTTTTAGAGAACTTGGAAGAGTGTAAAGGCTTGTGTGATTTAACATATTCTGTAGCTCCACCTCTAAGTTTGATTAAAATCCACACACAACCTACAATCCCTTCATTCGTTCTTGACCTAAGCTCTTTAATTTTTTACAGTGGGAATTCATCTTCATTGACTGCTTAGATAAAACCTTTTTTATGTTTAACTCCCTCACCAGCGTAGCACTACAGTTTCTTTTGAAACTTTATTTATCTAACAATAGTCAACGGCTTTCCAGTTCTTTTAATAACTGTTTTCTTCATGGCATCCAATAAAACTCAGCGTACAGCTAGTAATTAAACCATACAGTCTTGTTCCCCGGCGAGAGGACCTTGGATAGATAGATTTCCACAGCCTCGTCTCCAGTCGTCCTCGGCGATTTCGGATGTGACGTCACCTGTCAAGCTTGTCGGTAAAATTCACTAACAAAAAATTCGCAATCGCGCTCGGTTCCAAGCCTCCTCTGGTAACTCGGATAGCGCGAAATGGCCTGGGTACGAGGCTAAGATTTCCAGCCATGGTCTACCGTGAACGTTAAATTGAACTAAGGCTGACCACGGTCAAACTGCTCTGACATAATTAGGGATCAACCGTAGTTGACCATGGTAAAGAAACATGTCATAGCCCATTTTTCTGACCTACCACTTAGAGGAACTGTCTTCGTTTACCAATGAATGGACCACCTCACAGTTTTCAACATCCCAGATCACAATGTGGCGATTTCTAGATATTTGAAGGAAACAATAAACGTGAGCAAAATATTTCTTACAGAGTGAAAGTGATCAAATAGCCGAATGGTATAACGCACACACAAAAACATCAATTCTGGGTTTTTCACAGAAATGGACCTGTTGTGCTTTGCTGTCTACCGGTAGCGTTTTATGCCCATTTTGCCTCACTTCAGGCCGCAAGTCCCTCTCAAAGAATTTTTCATTTGCCTGAATGCGTTCATATAGATGTCAATAGAATGAAATTTGAACGGAAAAAGTTCTCATAAGTCATTCAAGATAGGACAACGAACACACTAGGCTACAAACGTCTACCGCGGCCGGGAAATCACTTGTTTGTAAGGCTGTGCTACACTTATTAGACGCTTACTAGTTATTACACTTACTCGTATCCTGCAGCAAGATATTTTCCATCTGGAGAGAAATCCATGTGAACGACTTCGGAGTTCTTAAACTCTTTGCTTGTATTGGTCATACTTTTAACCTAAAAGGAACATTAAAAACCGTCATACAAACGCGGCACTGAACTTTTATTCAGTAGTTGTAGGCTGTTAAGCGTGTTTTCAGCGACAGGGAAAGCGAAAGCCATTTCTTATCTTTCCTCTTTCCAGACCCCGTTCCCCCTGTTGCTGGCGTTCCGAAAGTAAGGAAATACGTTCATCCACGGCTGTCGCTAATTCCACCACTTTTCATCGCTTCCTTTACTTCTCGTCGCTCCCTACTATCTGAGCGCCCTGAACAAAGCTGGGAACAGGCTACTTGTTCTACTCAGCCTGATTTCGAGACGGTCGGCGGACACTGTCTCAGAGAAGGGAGTTTTCATCGAGTGACTCTAGAATGTCTGAAGACATACCTACTTCCACTAACTGTCCTTGTGCGACTCCGTGTGTACAAGTTTTAGAGCATATGGTGGCAAAAGAGAAACATAAACACATTACATATAAATGCATAAACAGAATTCAGCGGAGGAGAGAGGTGGATATTGCATCGCTGGAATAGCCTTGAGATTATCCTCAACGTTTCCGACTTGTTTTCGAACTTTGTTTTCTCTCCGCGGTGGCCAGTGCAATATTGGCGGATTAACAGATGCAGCAGCGCCCTACCTGTGCTCCAGTGGTACTGTCCAGTATTCTGACTTCCGCCTTACTCATCCCACAGGCAACGTGACTTCCGTCGGGCGAATACAACACTCGGAAATAACTTTTATTCTCACTAGGTACTGTCATCAACAGTGCTCCTGAAAAATATAACATTGAAAAAGTTACTAATGTTTCCAGTTGCACGAAACAAGTTGGCTGTGATTAATACCTTTTTCACAGTTGAGATGATCGAGTTATTGGGTCCATGTGTTAACCCCTTTAAGCCCCAAGAATTAGTGGAGTGAATTTGATAAAAGATCAAAGCATTTTCCCATTGGTGATTATTTCACAAATACTCATTATGTATGGATATTGCCAGGAGAAAAATACTTTAAGGATTAAGCCGCTGGTCTTGCCTCAGCCTGCATGCTTCATTGTCGAAGGGGAGTTGAAAGGACCCATACTGCTACTCAAATCGTAAAAGGGACCTAGAGCCCGGTAGTGTAGTCCACCTTTCGTGTGTTGTGTAAAGAAGGGATTCCTAGATACCCACATTAGTTGGCGCAGACGGCCGTAATGTCCTTGTCAAGCCACCCTCTCTCGCCACACCTCAAAGTCGGTCTAAGCGAAACTCGGCTCATGTCGTTTTTTCAACCTACTCCCCCGTGTTTGAATATCTAATGAAACACTCCCTCTCGTGTTTAATACACAATCGCAAACCAAACACGGCACTTGCCTGTTTCGACGTCCCATACGGTCAAGTAATACGTGCGACCAGTCTCGGATTTTGTGCCACAACAAAGATAGCGGCCATCGGGTGAGAAAACAATGGACTGAGATCCAGAGAATCTACCCCAGTTTAAAGACAGCACCTTGGCGCTCAACTCCTGAGGTTTGTTCACGTGACATAACCAATGTGGCTTGTTAGTCAGAGAGGCTATATAGGTCTGGAAGTAGAAAGAAAAGGTTTCCAGAATACATCTGTGTGTTCCTTTGATTGTATTATTTGTTTTGATGGGTTGAAAGTAATGTACTCTGTCTTGAAGTTTTCACTTTTCAAGTCCGACTCAGAAAACTTGTTACGGAAACTGGGCAGATCAACAGCCAATCGCAAGCATATTTTGGCTCGTGGAATCCTGAATTCAGTTCAAGAAATCCGGAATCCCACTAAACATTGGAATCCAGAATCAAGTTCCACTGACAAGGAATGAAGGATCTAGTACCTGGAATCCAGAATCCATGGCGTGGATTCCAGAATCCAACAGTCTTGAATTTCCTTATGCGTGGAGAACATAGCATGATTGAATGAATCCGTAAGAAGACTACATTGTTTACCTGGGCCGTCTTTGCTGGTGCGCTTGAGTCAGGAAAATTAGCAGATTGCTGTAAGGTGCATTCTGGATACTGATCTAGAACTTGAACATTTTCACTTAACATCTGCGCAAACTCTTTGAAACTCAAGGCTGTTTGTTGGTTCCCATGTGACCTCGCGAGGGTTGAAGCTTGTTTGATTTCGTTTATGAGCTCGTAAACTAGACCAACAGAACACTTTGCCTGAAAAAGAGACAGTTTGAGATTTGTATGTCAACATACGGACTTTCCCTTAAAAAACCAAATCTATTTTTTTCCTCCCAGCAGAGCAAGCCAAAAGCAGAAGCTAATACCGTGGAACCTCGATATAACGAATCTCTGCATAACGAAGTCGTCGATGTAACTCACGGTTTTCTTTACCCCAATAACAGTAAAATACATGAAAAAGAACTTCGACATAACGAAACCTCGGTATAGCGAATAAATTTTGCCAGTCCTTCGTTATATCGTTATATTATATGGCTACAATAGCACGCGCGCTCTGATTGGCTGTTTTCTTGTAATGACCGGGCATTACTAGCTAGGTGTCCAGGGCATATACAATCTGTGTTTTTAACAATTATTCCTCGAGCTCGAATGGGCTCTGAGGCAATAACCCAAGAGGCCAAAGGCCGAATGGGCTATTGACTCATAGGCCATGAGGGCGAGAGAAATAATTGTTTTAGTAAAATCCAACTAGCTGGTCAAAAATATCGAGACAAAACAACTTAAGCTGGTTAAAGCTAGACTTCATCCTTTTTTGGTCGCCAAAAAGCCGGCGCTTTCGCTACTAGTGGGCTATAACATAGAGCCTAGTAGTAGCTCAACCAATCAGAACGCAGCATTGATAATAGACCACCAGTTGGATTTTATTAAAACTTGATAGTGGACATCCTTATGGCCATCCATGTTATGGTCAATTGACAGCTGTCAAAAAGAGCATACGCTGCCTAGTGTCACCTGAATGTATCAAAGGTTCATTGAAGTGGCGTTTTTTTAAAGTTATCTGCCGGTCAGTTGTTGGTTTTAATTTATCGCAGGCTCAGCTCCATAATAAAAAGGCCATATAATAATTACCCTATTCACCTAGTCCGTTCGGTCATTACAGGGAAATCTCAGACCTCACTCTTGGTTAATAAGTATTATATGTAGACATGCGCGGCACAATAACCCGTTTTTGTCTACAGATGGTGGGTTCATGATTAGATACATGATCCTGGTTGACCCAGATCCCAAAATGTACACATTTTGGCTCATGTTCTGTAAAAGGAAAGCTTTTAGTATTCTAAAATAAAACGACTCTTGGGAGAAATAGCGTCATTATGCATCGAAGTACATGGTTCGTGGCTTCAACTTGGGAGCCTTTCACCCTCATCCCAAAACATGTGAGGGTTACCCCAAATATAGCTTACCTCTATAAATGGAATACAGCAGACAGACTCCAAAAAAATTTGCCATCGTTCTGCGCCAACGAGAGCTGTGGGTAGTTCTGTCAGCTTCCTCATGTTGTACTGACGACTTTTGGAACTAAGAGGAATAAGAATTGGAATTTTATTACATAAAACAAAAAGTTTTTTCCCATAAGTAACAGTGAAAAACGGCATGTCGCCTAGACTTTCTAAAAGTTCTTGTTTTTTTCCGGTTGGTTATGCCTTACCTCGTTGAAGCTCGCTTTGCTCGCTAAGGTGAGAACCACGAGAGGTCGACTTGTAGCAAGTCTACATGTCGCCCCTCATAGTTGTCATATTAAGTTCAAATAAACCAGAGAAGCCTTATTGAATGTGTAGTTCATTCATTAAGAGGCGACTCCTTAATCAGCACCCGCGCGGATAAGCGTCTTTGCTCTACTTTTCCACAGAATCTCTCTTTCCAATCACAACCGAAGCTATCACCTATTCGCTTGTCGTATTTAGTGACTCTTTGCCTTAAATTTCGCAAGGTTTCATAGAATATAACTGAGGAATAAATCTGCTAAGGCTTAAATAAGAGTAGAAAATGAGTTTCGTCAAAGTCAGCACCAGAAGCTATTACTGATGACGTCATCGAGTATCCAGAAATGGTTATGGCCGGACTAAAACAACGGTGTTGGACAAATTTTGGAAATTATAGAATATCATCCAATTATATTCTGGGTTTGTCTCTTTGGTCGAAGGTGTAAATTGAACTGTTTATTGCCTTGTGTCGCTGGAGGACGTCTGGTTCAACACGAGCGGTTGAGAAGCAACTTTGCGATCAGCTGTTCTTGACAAACCTGAAAACAAAACAATGACGACACAAAAACTTACAACTGGTAATTGTGGGGATTAGGGTGTAGTGGCTAAGAAATCCGACTTGGGATCTATAGTTCCAGGTCAAGCATTTCCGCCGTGTTTTTTTTTTCCTTAAGAAGAAACGTTCCTCTAATTTCTTTCTTTTCACCCAGGTGTATAAATGGGTACTAGCGATATTCTGTTGGGGTTAACCTTGCGAAGGACTAGCACTCCTAGGTGCCCCATGCTACTGGAACCAAATAATTTCCGGTCAGTAGTATGGTGGGACCGAATTATCCTTTTTTGCGCAGGAATCTCATCAACTTCCGCTGTAATACATTAACGCCGATGACGCCATAGCCTTTTGTCGTAATTTCATGAATAAATCGAAAAGACATCCATCGATCTTAAAATAACTCGAGAACTTGTCCAAATGGTTAATCCACTTAAAAATTAGCACATGACCTTCTCTTAATGAGAATACGACGCATTTCATTCATGAGATAAAGACAAAAGGCTATAATGTCATCGGCGTTAATAAAGCCATAGAGCATGCAGTAGCTCAGTGGTTAGGGCGTCCGAACTAGAACTCGGAGGATTCTCACCTGGAGTTCGGAAATTTTTCCGAGTTTTCTGGCATAAGAATTCTCTTTCTTCCAAAATATATTCCTGCCTTAAGTTAATGAGACTCCTGAGCAAAAAAAGGATAAGTCGGTCCCTACCATACTACTTCGGTCACATGGTCTCAATGGCCTGAAGCTGTTACTTGTGGCAACTAAAAACACTGCTGTTTACTGACTGTTTATTGGACAGAATCAAGCAAAATTAACCACGAGAGAACAACTGGACAACTGACAATTTGACTAACAATAAAAGACTGTTTAATTGCGACAATAGATGGATCGAAACGCACCAATGACATTTACGAGTCTTCATAGCCAATAGCATCACGGCTCAACCGATAGACGACCAATAACATCGCGACTTAATTGACCAATCAGGCCAATAACCAGAGTTTAATACCATCAAATCAACTAAAGTGATACAGCTCACTTTGACTCTGAAGGTGACAACCGCACAGGTTGTCGAAACGTCAGTCACTGCCAACAACAACAGTCCTATTGAGGACTACGTTCACCCGGACGATCAAACTCAACCTACTTATTTACAACTTAGTTGTGTAGTAACTACCATATATACCATATATGTTTCTGGTAAACTGCCCGCCTACCCCTCCCTTAAGCCAACATTCTGCCCTAACTGAGACGTTGGTGTTAATGTTGGCTTAGGGGAGGGGTAGGTGGGCAGTTTCCCAGAAACGTATAATGACCCCTACCATCTTTCCCCACGTATGGTAGGGTTTGTCCTGCCAAGCGGCCAATAAAATATTCTGCAATGGCGCCGTGACGCTTCTTCCGTACTTCTGGATCAGAAACAAACCTCTGAAAATGAAAAATACAAAATGCTTTGTGGATGATAATTTACATCTCCAAACAAAGTTTCATTATCAAAGTTTAATTTTACCACATAGTTAATAGATGAAAATGTACGAGCAAACATCGCAGCCAAGAAAAGTGTTGCAGAGTTTGATTCAGAGAGATCATTCTGTACTAACGTTTGGGTGCCTTTTAAACGAATCTACGTCTTTTTTTAGTGCTGATTGCATTTGCCTTTATCCATACAAGGAATTGCTTCCAGTAATTTCGTCTCTGTCTAAACGTACTTCAACGCTAAAAGTTTCACTCCACGCTTAACTTATTTTCTAGTCGACATTGGCTTTCCTTAAACATTTTTAGAATAAAGCGGATTCTGCTGTTGGAACATGATATTTTGGTTTTGTTTTACTATTTTAAAAGGAGTTACTGAAAATGTGCTAGTCAAAGTAAATTAAAGTGGAGTCATTACAACGCAAGAGCGATTGCTTTATCAAAATAAGAATTAAAAAATACATTATAATGATGCATTCGGGCCAAAATCAAGAGAAAGTACGTAACTCCATACCTCCTCAGCCGCCTCTCTGAACTGTCTGTGATACCATGACAACACGGGTGTACCTCCCTTGAGCCCTCTCTCCACAAGATAGGGTCCTAGGTCTGTCTGAATGCGGACCCACAGCAACGGAGGAAGCCGCCTCACAGGAGGTTCCCACCATTGGTACACGTCATTCAAAACTTCGTCGTCACATGACAGTATATCTTCTAGTTCATTGGCTGCGAAGTAAGACAAGAAACACGAGGGGGAGTGTCTTGAGGGGTATTCAAACACTGATATTTGGGCTTGCTATACAAAGTGCGGCGATTTTTTTCTCGAGTGATGTTTGATGTTTGATTGGATTGTTACTTTGATTGTCAAATAACGATATATTTCTAAGGAAGATATCAAACACGTAGAAAAGTGTTTTCCAGTGAACGAACAAGGTTTAGTCGAATGTTCTGGACTAAATTCGATATGTGTGAATAAAAATAATCAATTTGTTTGTTCTAAAAACAAATTAACTATCGAAGAATAATTTAAAACAAACTTCCCTTACACTATACAATAATGAATTTGGAACACAGTTCGAATATGCAAACCTCCTTCAAGGTAATTATTTCCTTGTTTGATATTGTTTATAAGTCATCAATGACTTTGCGAAGTACATATACATGCAGTGATAACAAAACAGACGGGCAGATATGACATGGAAAAGCATGAATGCAAACTATATTTGCTTGCTATTTTCATCACTGTCGTCCATGAATGAGATCAGCTTTGTAAACAGAGGATGAAAAAATAGTAATCAGTAAAATGACATGCAGCGATAAAAAATAAACGTTTCCACACACACACACACACACACAAAAACTAGTTTAACAGATCCCAAGAGAATCAAAATTGAACCTGTTAATCCAAACTTAGCAACTGTAAGGTATCCCAGGGCGTGATCAACCAACAAGTTGCCATGGATACGAATAAGCCTGTCAAACATGTCATCGATGAGTTGTCTCACAGTCCTGGACAGAGTGATGTCATCAACTGGAGTGGAAGAGGTCCACGTACATGAAGTCTCAAACGCAATCTGAAGATAAGAGAAGGAAAAGGACTTCTCAGAAACGTCTGGAGTCATCACAAAAGAAGATAGCATATATAACGTAAAAAGGGAGTTGGCTATTTCACCCTTGGGAAGACGATGCGCCAGCACATTAATCATCTATTTTCTAATAACGGCCGAATTGTCGATTTATTTACCAACTGAAATATGCGATTTCATGAAAGACCACTTGGATTACCACTTAAATTTCATTTTCCACTCGAATTTATTTTCTTTTAGCGGTTTGCGGGCACTCCAAAAAAAAAAAGAAATGATTGCTTGGTGACATCATTGATTATTAAAAAAGTTCAGCCAATCAAAGCAGAGTAGGATTTCCAGCAATAGCGGATGGGATCAGCAAAGAGTGAAGCCAAAAGAGTTAAGCTTATTGAGGAACATCGGAAAAGCAGACCAGAGAGCCTTTATAGAAGACCAACTGTCACATTGGATAGTGTAGAAGTCTGCGAGCAAAAGGAATTTCGAGGGAAGGGAAATCTTATAATTGACTGAATGTCTTATTCGCTCTGACACTTACTGATAGGGGGTAGACGCTCCGAGGATATAGTTCCATTAGTGCACAAGTTTGTTCACCACCCAAAGCTAGTCTACTTGTAAGTCACAGTCTTCAAGAACTTGCTTAGAATTGTTTCTCTTTTGATGCCGGACAACTTAAATATAATAAAGTAATTGCGATAAGGTGCTGGGCTCTTGCAAACCTTGAGGAATAGCGGATAAGGGCATTCATTAAAGGCGTCTAAGACTTCTAACATTTGTGAAGCAGTCAGACTTCTATTGCTGGCTTTTAACCAGGATTCAAGGAGTTCTTTGCCATCATTAGCGGACATCTTAGTGACCTGGAAAGTAAGCATACACACTAAGTTTTTTCTCTGAACAGAAGAAATTTTTTTTCCTCGCAACATGGACTAAGAACATAAAAACAAAAACAATAGATAAGAAGCTTTGCAGGCGACAAGAGCAGCCCGCAATCCTATTGTCCACGTTGCTATCACGCAAACACGGTAGGCATGTGGCCAGCTTTGTTTGGACTTCCACTAAGAATGAATGGAATGCACAGGACGTCACTAGTTGGACGTTTTGCGTGTTTTGACCATCTATCACGTGAAACGTACGGAAAGCACAGCCTGAAAGCAAAAGCGTTTTGACCTGCGGTCGTTGTTGCCCGCGC